GATGATGATGATGATGATGATGATGATGATGATGATGATGATGATGATGATGATGATGCTTGGATCTGCACGCATATTACGAAAATACATTACGACGTCCTAGGCCCCTGCGTGGGGCCCGACTAGTAACCAATGCCAAATCCGGCGAAACAACTGGCCGCTGTGATACAATTGTATGACAACAACAACAACAACAACAACAACAACAACTGGCCGCTGTGATACAATTGTAAAATAATAATAGTTGAGGCTATACTTCAATAGAATCTTAGATTGGAATTTCATAAGGATGTACAGAATCTGTGGCAGGTTCCAATAGCTTTCAGGCCTGGTTATGTTTGCTGGGATTAATGGGACTTGGGAGTCACAGGTTCCACACCATTAAAGTATAAAGATGTTGCACTTGAAAAGAGTTTTGTGGCCCTAATCTAGTTGTATTATTGTGGTAGGCCACTGAAATTTTATTTAGAGTTTAATTATACCGAAAATGTATCCCAATTACACACAAATCCAGCTAATGTCTTTAAAGTACTTTTAACAGGATGTCAACATACTATTCCAAGAATTTATATTCTAACTGCTACATGATACATTCTGCATTCCATTTTATGACTAATTTATATGTATAATAGTAAAATCACTGATATAACATTTTAAAAAATAAACTGAAATGAAGAACCATATAAAATGTTTATGTATACAAGGCCACAGGGGATAAGTGATCATAGTGAAATGAAATATAAGAAAAATATGAGAAATCATGTGATCCCTAACATTTTCCCACATTTTAACAGCAATTCAATCTTAGCCAAATTCTAAAACAACTAAGTGCATGTAACAAGATATATTCTCCATATATAGATAAGGGCATTCAAAGCACCATTTGGGATTTCCATTTGAGGAACTGTTTCAACAAAAATTCACAAATACTTTTGCTGAGTACATTTACTGTGTGCTTATATGCTTCTCATATTCCTTAAGAACTCGGGGATAACATATATACTTATATAAAGCAATATATAAATCAATATCATACTTTTAGAAAACCATATCACAAAATAAATCAGAAGATAGCTTTTGGTATCTCTTTTGAACTTTTTGTGTATAGCAGAAGAAATAAACTTATGATGTTTGGTTTTGACAATAGGATTTTTTTTAAAAATAAGAGTCACAATGTAACTTTAGAAAAAGAGGTAAATCTATAGCTATTTTTAAAAATGCTATAAAGAAAATGAGATGCAGGGTGAATAAAAATTAATGATTCTTTTTAAATTTTTAAAAAATGATTTTTTTATTTAAAGCAGTTTTTTATTTTTATCAAATTTATCTTAATAAAATGTTTTTAGAGTAAAAATCTATCTAAATATAGTTTTCTGTTTAACAAACATTAATAATTTAGTTTATTCAGCATGAAATGGAGCTTACTTATGTAGCATGAGGCTATATATTCTGCAATTTTGGGATTGTCAGTAAGTCAACAGCAAGTCAGAGAAGGAGCTGCTGTGTGACAGAGATGACAGTTGCTCTTTAAAAATTATTATTTAAATCGACTTGATTTAAATCAAATCTTTTTACTAGTGATTTAAATCATGATTTAAATCATTAGTAAAAAGGTTTGATTTAATCTTGATTTAAATCAAATTCATCCTGATTAAAAGTCACTTCTTTATTTTTCTTCTTCCTTTTCAATTTTTATGTAACTTTTTTCTTCTTGCACTTGAGCTCTCTCTTTTATCTTTTCCTTATTATTTTTTCTTACTATTAGTTTGTATTAATTTTTAATCTTAATTTTAAAACTTTTAATAAAATAATGTTAAAGAAAATGGCTTTTGCTCAAGCTTTGTAAAAATAGATATAAGGTTAGCGTTCACTAAACATTTAAGAAGTCTAGAGGTACTAATTTCTAGTATAACTGTGCTGGAATACATATTTTCAAAAACCTAGTTACGATAGAAAAGAAATATATTGTTTTTATTCAAATAGAAATTTGCAAATCAGATAAAAATATGTTGGGCTCAAAATAATAATTAAAAAATGAACAAAGACATCATAGTTTAGCCGATTTTCTAAAGTTAAGGAATTAATAAGCTGATTTATAGAATTAATTCTTTTCAAACTGAGGACTAAGTAAGCTATAAGAGGAATCTGCATAATTTGCATTGTTCTATGTGCAATAGCAGGGTCACGTTCAAACTTTCCCTATTCTGTGAGGCAATGAGACTAGTAGTATAATAGTCAAGAAAAAAAGTATGGATAGGAGTCAGTTTTCCAAACTTTCTATACTGAGCTTAAGACAATACATCCAACTACCCTTTTATAGATTTTGATTCATATACAATTTCTGCATGTACTTTGTCCCTTAAAAAAAGATTAAATAGAAAGCACAAATAGATTTTCTTACTTCCATTCCTTGATTTATGGCCAATTTTGCAACTCTCATTGCTACGGGTCCCTAAAATTAAAAAGAAATGTAAGTTTCAACACAGAAAAGAAGGTTTGTGATTTTTAAAAAGGATTCCAATATAAACATTTCATTTTGCTATCATAGAAGTCTGTTGTATTAATTGTTACATTTAGAGGTAGGAAAGTGCATGTAGATCATAACAGCATTTGAGGGTAAGAATTAAGACCTAAATCTATAACTTCATTTGACAAGCTGACTTCAGTAAACACAATATTCAATCTAACATCTTTTATGTAGACTAGGACTTTCTACTCAAGGGCTTAAAACATATTTCATAACAGAATTAATGCTGTATCAGCAATCTGGAACTAATGGTAAAAGTGCTGGATTAAAAATCAGATTCTCATAGTAATTCTACAGGCACATAAACTGGCCTGGTAGCTTTGAGCCAGTTCTTTCTCTTAGAATAACCACCTTATAGGATTGTTGTTGTAGGGAAAATTGGTGGAAGGTGGATTAAGTATTCCACGAGTTATATAAAATAGAAGTATGATCTAAATCTATAAAATAGATATATGCATGCATGTACAAAGCTGTATTTAGCAAGTTCATTTACTTATATTTCTATTTGTATTTCTATATGCATTATAATGATTTTTCACTAAGAAATACTAAACAATATGATACATTTAAAAAAGAAAGGGACTGCAATTTTTGTAAGAATTTCTAGAGTATAAAATCTCTTAATTTGTTGACCAGTTTTGTGGTACCTGCTAGATGTATGACAGCTGAACTGCTGAAAAGTAAATTTGGCATTTGGAAAGTGTACATCAAATAGAGCACCAAGATGAGAAAGATCTCTGTCTGAACATTTGACAACACTGACAACAAAAATAGAAAAGGTTTCTTGGCTGCAAATATACTACTGTAAGTGGTCATCTATCAATTCAAACAAATGTATAAGTAGAAAATTTCTTTCTGATCATCACAATGTGTCAGAAAAAGCAATGCTCTTTCCATTTCCTATGTTGGTAGGTGAAGATGAATTGTTCATGGCTACCTAATATAAGCAGGAGGAAAGCTGCTGATCTGAATGAGAATCAGGCAGCAATAGCTGGAGCAAACTTTATGGCCCCCATTATCAGTATGCAGCTTGGAAAAACCTTGAAAAACCAAAAATAAATTTCAGTTCCAGTGAAATGGTATTGCACTGGCCTAACCTAATTAAAAATATTAAGCATAAAAAGAATAAGTGCAAGAAATCAGGAGTCCACATAGTTCAAATGAATATAGACTTATTATATGCTAATACTGTCTATAAGAATCTGAATTAACAGTCAAAGCAAATTGGTGGTATATTAAGAGTCAAGGGAATTCAAGGTGTACTTGACTTATAACTCTTGTGGGCCTGAAGGGACTTGACACTGATGAAGCATTTGATCCCTCCCTGTTGTGACCTGCCAGCAGCCAGCAGAGCTGGCAGCAGATTCAGACAGTGAAGAGGTTAGGGAGGAACATGGGCCAATCCTGGAGCCTGGGGAAGGCGCTGCTGAGGGATCTGTATCAGAGGCAGAGAGGGAGCCAGAGCTGTATGCCAGTTATCAGCTGCCTTCAGAGGCAGACATCAGTGAGGCAGAAAAACAGTTGGAGCCTGTTCCCAGTGTGTGCGTGCACAGAGTTGCCAGACAAAGGGAACAGCTAAAGAACAGGGGTTGACTTGGGAGTAAGACCGCAGATGGACAATGAATGGCCCCTCCCGGAGGAAATAAAAGAGGAGGGAAAAGGGAGTGGAGTTTTAATGGGCAACAAAATGAGGGGATGACAATAGTGGTGACAACTCTTAGGAGGAGTGAAAAATGCAAATATTTTCTTACAGAGTTAGGCTGCCAGATAACCTTTGATACATGGTAATTGTATGAGGATTGAAAGAAGGTGAAGAGGCTACAAGCACTTCAGGGTCAGTATCTCTTAAAGTTTGTTTCCAGAGAGAAGTAAGCAAACAAGAATGATTGTGATGAACTTGCTTAGTAAATACCTAGAAGCCATGCAAATATCTAACCCCTATGATTATAACCAGAGCAAAGATTCAGATTAAACCCCTTAGAGCCATAAAGCTCACAACTAGAGACCTGTAACTGAAAAACAAATTATCACAATTAATAACTCAATGAATTTCTGAGAAAGATTAAAGAGAACTAAAAGAAAAAAAGGAAAGGAAAAAAGTTTTAGACAAAGCAGTTCAGGAATGGCTATGTTAATACTGAAATCCAACTGAAAGGGTTTCAGTGAGAGCCATATCTAACTGTGCGAGAGCCATATCTAACATATGGGTTCGGGGGACTCACAAAATGTTTCAAATACTCTGGAAGATTTGGAACAAGACTCTGCACAGACACATAATTCATATAATAATCATAGCACAATGAAAACTGTTCCACTTGTTCGTTTCAGTTTTCACCCCTGTTTATAACTACAATTAATATGAGGTAGATTGAAAGACTCAATTTTAAAATAAAATTCTTCTATGAGCTTTTGCAACCATACTAAAGTGTCATTCAAAGTGTCATACATCTTCAGATGTAACAGATGCATGGAAATAAAGTGAAGCACCTTTCATCATTTCTTAAGACTTTAATCTCCAGTGAGTGGCAGACAGTAATTCAGAAGTCACTGCTAGTGAGAATCAGTGTATTGCTATTTAGAATACTTTAAAAATTATTAGTAGAAGTATGTTGTTTAAAAACTATGCAACTACACATAGAAGACATAATGTATAGTATGAATACCTCAATGTACCTACATCAATATGACATTTCAAGGACTATACAGTATACTATTGGTCCTCTAGATTTATGGTCTTGGGGACTTCAACCTACTGAATATACTGGCTGGTAGGTGTTGCTTCGAATGCATAAAACAGTAACAGTACCTATCTCTTTCCCCAAATTGAACAACACTAAAACTAGAGCACTAAAAATTGCACACAAAAACCAACAAACTCACTGCTTTCAATGGAAGCAGAATGACTGTTTAATCATTCTACAGGTAATCCTCAGGTTACAAGCATTCCCTTAGCGAACATTCAAGTTACATGATAAGCACCCCCTATTTTAATATTAACATGAAATGTATTAATGGGATGTGAAGTATTATTTGATAGCTGGGTGGAGATAGATAGATAGATAGATAGATAGATAGATAGATAGATAGATAGATAGATAGATAGATAGATAGATAGTGCTGAAGTAACGAAATAGATTGTGATCATATGCCACATAGTTCACCTAAGGAATTTTAAAATGTACTTGGTAAAACTGCTTGAGAACTTGATGATACTGACCTTTAACAAAGACAATGCTAGGTCTACTATACTTGACAACAGAAAAATATTCTTTTATCTATTGTTTCCTAAAATGTTAAAGCTAGAGACAGTGATTCTTTTTAATTTCAGATCAATAAAAATCACAATATTTTTTCACTATAGATAGTAATCAAATCAACAAATATTATAATATTATAGAGGATATTATCTAATATATAAAACTACATACTTAAATCAATGTATAAGTATACAATTTCCATCAAGTTAATGTAATCTGTATTTATAATTTGGGTTATAAAGTGCCACTTCATTACTTTACTGATTAACAGAACTTCAACATTTTAATTTATTTTGGGAAACTAAATTAGGAAATGTTGAGACAAAATAATTTTAAAAATTTCCATAGTAAGATGCCTAAGAAAATGATGGATACTAAACAAAAATACTAGTTAAAGTACTAAATCTTAAATAATAACAAAACCATCCAATATTTATCATTAATTCAATATTTTAAGATTTGTAACATAATCATGGATAGATGAATAATATGCCTATAACAACAATCAAGGAAGAAGACTTGGCATTATAAGTAATTATAAGTAATGGAGGGCTTTCAATATATTTTTTAGTAATAATTGTCATCTATTGCAACAGAATGACAGAACAAAGAATATTATTCACTGAGACTGTACCTGAGGTAAAAATTCTGTTGCCAGGGCTAACGCTCTTTTGTAGGCAGCATCCCCTGCTTCATTCTGTTCAACGACATGACTGATCAAGCCTATTGATTTAGCTTCTTCACCATCAAGTACACGAGCAGAAAATATTAATTCTTTTGCCAGAGACACACCAATGGTACGAGGTAGTCGTTGTGTTCCACCTGTAATTTAGGAAATGAAAGAAAAAACACAAATACTGATGCTATGATCATCATATTTAGTATATCAAGTTTTAAAAGTGTGACTGATTCATAAACTTAAGAGTGATTTTACTACTACTGCAACCAAAAAAGTAGAGTAGGAGTCCAAGTACTTTAAGAAAATTCATATGTATCTTAAGCACAATATAATACACATATTATTTTCTTTCTCAAGACAAGTATACATATCAAATTTTAACAGGTCATCTCCACTCAGCAACTTTAAAACATAGAAAATAGATCAAACATATTTATAAAAATTCACATCTCATCAATAATTTAAGAAAATATATATGCTGAAATTTGGCCCAACAAAGTAAGTTTTAGTTTTCATTAACCAACAGATCAGTACCCTTCATTATCTAGACATCAGTTGCAGTCAAACAAATAGATAAGCTACATTGCTGATGGATGTTAGGCAATAACATATAAGTAGTGTATATTTCTTATCAAATAGAGAAAATAATATTCAATCTTTAACTGAACGACTTTCTGTCTGTAAGTTAAGCCACATTTGTTAGAACTGTCCCCAGTTATGAAGGTGACATGGGTGAAATCAAGGGATGGGTCCATCCAGTGATTTCTGCTTCTTTGAGGGAGTGATTCTGCTACCTGAAGGAGCCAATGGCATGCCCTCTTCTCAGGAATCCATCATTGGCTATTACGTTATTTTAGACAATTATTTTCCAGGCTCCAAATACCACTTTATAGTAAAGGTTGTAAAGAAAGTGGTCGGGCAACAATTACAGAGGATCTTGGAGGAAATGGATTACCTGGACATGTTTCAGTTTGGTTTCAAACTGGGCTACTCTATGCAGATGGTGCTAGTCATGTTTGCCAATGAACTTTGGCAAAGCCATGATGTTGCATTTATTGATGGATTCATTTGAAAGTCTGCCTAACTTAATTATTTCTACTTGCCCAGTATGTCATAATAAAATAGGAACAGAGTCACCCTATAGAAGAGATGGGGAGCATATATATTTAATAAATAAAAACAATAACAACACTACAGGTCCCTTCTATTAAATGTTATCATCTTGTGAAACTGAGGAAACTTTTCGGTTGTGCCTCTAGAATAGCAAACAACCCACCACCCCCCGGAGATACTTCAGAACTGGTTTGGGACTCAGGTTTGTGTGTTCAAATGTTTGATTATGGTTTTATTTGTTATGATTTGATTGTTTTAATCTGGGCTGCTTGTGGGGATATATACTTTTATACTTATGCACTCCCACCCACCACTCACACACAAACCATTGCCTCCCCCCCCCTCCCAAGCCACAAAGATGGAATGGTTGGGGATCGCTCTTCTAGTCTCATTTTAGGCAGAAAGCCAGCTGAATGATTTTGGGCTGGTCACTCCCTCTAAATCCTAGAAAAAAATGAAATGGCAAATCAATTCTGAAATTCTTGCCCGGATAACTGTAAACTAGCAGTCAACACTGTCTTGATATCAACAAGAAACATCATAAATTACTGAAATACATGATTATGGCAGTGAGAATAAATTTTGCCCTATAGTGGAAGAAGATATAATCCCAACAATATTTGATTGGGAACTTAAATTTGGAAAATATGCAGCACTGGCAAAATAAACAATATATATTCACAACAGAATTTTAACTAAATGTAAGCAAGAATAATTACAAGATATCACACGGCATGGCAAATATAAACATTTACAGTTTGGCCTCTCTGTTAATCTAAATATTTATGAATATTATAAATTAGCAAAAGCACAAAAATGGGAAAGTCAGAAACCAAATAGCCATGGGTTTTTTTTCTTTATACCTCTTAGGTTTTGTCTATTTCTTTTTTATTCAATATGCATCAACAGTAAATAATATTACAGTGGAGACCTTAATATTAAGTAATCATCTTAATACAAAAACATTTATTGTATAAAACTATTCTGATATAATGTGCAATTGCTTTTTATACTCAGCTTTGGATGTAAAAGCTAAATTAAGCTTATTAATGCTGACATTTTAAATCATAATTAACACAGATATACTACCTTCTTTTTCATCTTTAATGGTCTAGGTTATCTAAATATTATAGTGCCACTAACGTATAGTCAGCACTGCACAAATACCATGATATTTAAATAAAATAATATATTACATATGATTCAAAAGAACAAAAAGAATTCTTGTTTTCTCACCTAATTCCTAAAAAATTGAATTAATGCATTTCAAAAAAATGTTCTCAATGTAGTAGCAAATTTAGGTACTATAAATATTTCATATGATTTATCTGTGGGATTTCTAGCATAAGCAAAATGTGAGTCTTTAACCATATATTCCAGCTGTCTAAGATTAAAATGTCTCTTTTTGCTTTTTTATTTATATAAAAACATCCCAAAGTACGAACATCTTTGTAAGAAAAAGAAACCATTTTCATTTTTTATGTTCTAAGATCTATAAAAGAAATATTCAGATAACATCTGAAAATGGTCGATTTATAGTTTTATTTAAATTTCAGAATGAGAGTCACTGAAACATGGCCTGCAATTGAAATGAATCCTATTAAGTAGTACATAAAAATGATTTGCTCATAGCAGGATATTTTTTTTAAAAAAATCTAGTTAAAAATGTTTTAATGTGCATTTACTTTTTATATTTCCAATACACCAAAGTGCTTAAATTTCAGTGTGTATGCCTGTAATACTTTCAAACTGTGGGAATAAGTAAGAGGATCTTTTGGAGGATTTCTATGTAGCTGAGAATCCCGAATTAAATTAAAATCACTGTGAGTTAACAGAATGGAATAAGGTTTAGGAAAACATCTTTGTAATATTCCAAAACGTTATTCTTGAGGCCATAAAAGTCAATCAGAGCAATAGTGTTATTAATCAATCTTTTCTAATAAGAAAATAAAATATCATTCAGTGTCACAAAGCTTGTATTGTAGTTTTAGTTTTGCTATTAAGCACAATAACTATCCTTATACTAATACAGGCTTGTCCAACTTCTGGGTCTCAAGAAAAGTAGTTCACCTGGTAGAATATTTCCTGTAACATAAGATGTGGCAGTAAAATTTCCCCACTCACCCACCATCTTTTTTAATCTGAGCCCAAATAGATTTTAGCTGATAACTTTAGGCTCTTGCCTTATAGTGTAGGCAAAATATTTCTCAAAACCAATTTCCCAACATGGCAGACATCTTGTTCTGCGGAAGCATAAAAAGTAATAGATACATAAAGAAGGGTTTAAATAATGATTATAGATCTAATCTAAAAGAAAGTAAATATAATAAAGAGAAAACAAACCTCACTCTACTAATATTAAAAATGGGCAAAAAAGCTCTTTATTATAAATCTATGGTAGGCTCTGGCTTAAAGCTCCTCACCTCTCTGACTCAGGAAATAAAAATGTAGAAAAGAAAGCTTCTATATTTATACAAGAGCAACAACTGTTGAAGTAAAGGAAAACAAAACAAAAACAAGTTTGTTACAAAGCAGATAAATGCAAAAGCTGTAAGAGCACATCAGAGAATTTCACAGAATGTGTACGTTTTAAAATATTTTCTCCCAGAAGAAAGACAGTACATTGCTGGCTTTAAAAATAATTAAGTTTCTTGTTTCCTGTCAACAGACATGACAGACATGTCAAATCATTTTTCCTCTTTAAATTTAGCGTTTGCGAAGGAAGAGCTGGTTAAATTATTATTTTACTTTTACTTCCTACTTTATTTTATTTCCACAGCAAGAATCAGCTAGCAATGAAAAGACTTCCTCACTCAATACATTATTTTATGTAAAATTAACAGAGGTCAGCTGATCTGCAAATCCAAAAGCAAATTAATTTTTTAAAATGTATTTCAAATAAATCATTTATGTATTTTAAGTTAGCAGATACTGTATGTAATGAATTTATAATGAAATTGTTCCTTTTCTTCTAAGATCTTGATTCTGATTGCATGTTAAATAAATAATTAAATTCAGTACTTCCAAATCGTTATAAGAGCTTCAGCTTTCATAGTTTTAGGGCCTCGATATAGATCCCAGATATACCAGTATCCGGATTCATAAATCTACTTTTTCATCCATGTATAGATTAATTAAGGTTTCATCATTAATTCCAACCTCACTATTGCTTCTCATATAAATAGGAATACATCTCACATTCGTATGTTTTCTAGCCCAACAAAATTTGAGACAGCTCTCAGAGATTTCAAGTGAATTTATATGCTTGTCCAGGTTTTCTCATTATTATCTGAAGTACAGGTGAAACTCGAAAAATTAAAATATCGTGCAAAAGTTCATTTATTTCAGTAATGCAACTTAAAAGGTGAAACTAATATATGAGATAGACTCATTACATGCAAAGCAAGATAGTTCAAGCCGTGATTTGTCATAATTGTGATGATTATGGCTTACAGCTCATGAAAACCCCAAATCCACAATCTCAGAAAATTAGAATATTGTGAAAAGGTGCAATGTTCTAGTCTCAAAGTGTCCCACTCTAATCAGCTAATTAATCCATAACACCTGGAAAGGGTTCCTGAGCCTTTAAATGGTCTCTCAGTCTGGTTCAGTAGGAATCACAATCATGGGAAAGACTGCTGACCTGACAGTTGTGCAGAAAACCATCATTGACACCCTCCATAAGGAGGGAAAGCCTCAAAAGGGAATTGCAAAAGAAGTTGGATGTTCCCAAAGTGCTGTATCCAAGCACATTAATAGAAAGTTACGTGGAAGGAAAAAGTGTGGAAGAAAAAAGTGTAGAAGCAGCAGGGATGATCGCAGCCTGGAGAGGATTGTCAGGAAAAGGCCATTCAAAAGTGTTGGGGATTTTCACAAGGAGTGGACTGAGGCTGGAGTCAGTGCATCAAGAGCCACCACACACAGACATCAGAAGCGTCTTATCTGGGCTAAAGAAAAACAGACCTGGTCTGTTTCTCAGTGGTCCAAAGTCCTCTTTTCTTTTCTGATGAGAGCAACTTTCTCATTTGGA